CACAAAGATTTTCAATCTCGCTGCATAGGTAACGAAAGCAAATGAATTGTAAGGCATATATTAGTTTTATTGTTGTACATCAAAAGTGCATAAAAGTTTCACAACCACTTAATCTATAATGGAATTTCAAACACACATTAACACATAACATAGAAAATGCAGTCTTTCCCAGAACATCAGCGCGGTCAACGATGAAACTTGCCAACCTAAGCTACTGCTATTTTCGAAAAAGCTCCAAGTCTAGTGACAAATATTCTACCTAAATTCAAGTGATTTTATTCAATATTGTACTTCATTCGAGCATAGTACATTTAGGTTGCAGCTATTGAATTTTCGATGTAGCTTTTAATACAAAAAAAATACTCTTATTTCGAGACGACACAGAAATTTAAAAGGCTCCGTAACGCAAGATTGTACTAAGCTCCCATTAATCAAAAATACATAACAGAACCGGAATTTGCATTGAATCTAATGGTAGTCTGCAAAATATGGTGCAGCAGATTAGATCCCCTAATTCAACGGTGATATTCATTGTTGAGAAATACTCGCTGCAATCTAACGACCTATTCAAGTTAGTTCGATGAATGTGAAATAGAATTTGTACCTAAGCTAAGAAGTTGTTGCTCCCACGATCGCTTGCAGCATTAAATTAGCTTAATCTTATAAGCAAGTGTTGAAGTGATAGCAGATAGTAATGAACAAATATATCGCCTGTTGACCAGTAATTACCTCGAGTGCAACAACCGATGCCAACAATAAGGAACCATTCTGTGCTCTTATCACTCACAAGAGATCATTCGTTCATTTGCCGCTCAATTTTCTGTCCTTTTTATAAAGGATTCTATCTGAGACTTCATTACTAATCACGTAACAGAATTGGTTCAATATATAGGTAACGTGGGAAAACACACTTCGTTGCATCGCACAATTCAGTTCCGTTAGACAAAGTGAAACCTTATTTAGTCTAAGCTACGTAATCGAATACAAGAAGACCACACCTCACATAAGTATTAAAATGTATAAAAGTTTAGTACATGGTTTTTTTTCCCTAGCGATAATTTTTGGGATGATTACAAAAATTAGAGAAACAAATTACTGAAAAATAAACAATACTTATCTGATAATAATCTTACTGCATTGAATACTTTGATTATCATTATAGATTCTGGAGAGAGATACAAATAAAAGACAGATAATAAAGATACGCTACACATACCAAAATACAGCGGGTGGACAAACCATACAAGTAGAACCCCAACTTGCATTACACTGATGAATCCAGTGAATGATAAGTGAGAAGTTGAGGCTCTTCATCAAATTTTCGTTGTAAGAAAATGAGGACTCAATAGGCTTACACACTCAGGAATGTCGAGTTAAGGTCTAGGAACCCCAAACATAAAATCAAGTCAAACTTAACACGACAGAAATCAATTGCTATCAAAGTTGAAGGCATTAAAACAAACAAGAACTCGAGACTGAAGAGCACACAGGCTAGTGTAATAGACTGTGCAAAACAATAAAAATATAAATATATTACGCAACTCTAGCATCTATAATAGACATTTGAATTGCACTTCCAGGAGCAACTCGTATTGTGCACATAATATCGGAAAATTTTTCCATAGGATGATGCCAAGTCTGTTTGATAATTAATCCGATGTAACGTATGGTCTTGTATTTCCCGACTGTATAAGGAAAATATGTTGCCGGTCGAAATGAAGCCACTCGTGAATATATAGTTCAGTGAAAATATAACAATTTACCAACATTTGATAAAAAATGAAACAATATGAATGCAATAAAAACGGTAGAACGAATAACTAAAGCCGATGAAGCAACTTTGTTATAGGTAGCACAAGATAAAAAAGGTTCAGGTGTAACCGTCACACAACATCAAAGATAAACGCGAATAAAAAAATTAAACGTTATTACATATTGGAAAACAATTTCTAAAACTGCATGCTACTTTTAGTCGATGTACTATAATGACTAATGAAAATATTTCGACAGAACATCGAAAATAAATGCTTTTGTATCGTATTTAAACACAGGTCTCCACTACGGACCTTGTAAAGTTTATAATTTGATTGGGACTAGAACTCGGTAAAACAGATACCGACTGATGAAACAGCGCTGGAAAACAACACGTCATTTGCATAACGAATTACACCGATTTGCTTCACAGCAAAATCAATCATTCAAAATGAACCTTCTGAAACAAACGGGTGTTGAAAATAATTAAAACAAATACGATTCACAGATACTAAGTTTGATTTTAGTTAGAGGCATAAGTCAATACCAGAAACGTGTTTCAGGATCAAACCTCTTCGGGACTTGAAAATAACTTAAATTATTGAGGTTATAAAAGAATCAATACCTTAGGAAATGCACGAGAGAATGTGCAACCCAATGCACAGTCAAACTTAAAATAACATCAAATTAGGAACGCAAAACGTGCAGCAAACTAGTTCACGCAGAGAGGAGTTAATGTAGATTTATCTTCTCAAGTTACAGAAGAAGGAAAGCTCAAATAAGCTCATTTTCTTCCAAAAATAGCATGAAACAATAGTATCGTAAATGGCGACTGAAGACTTGATGAAATACAGGAATAGTGACGGAAATAGACGCTCTTAATTGCCATTCGGACATAGCGAACAATAAAAAACTACGGATCTGGAATGAATTTGTGTGCGGTTTGTAAGTACTAAGGATTGCATCTCAGATATCTGTTTCAATGCAAGCAGTAAATCAGCAAGGAATCAATGTTCTAAACATTGTGCGATGGAAAGACGTTGGTGCAAAATCAACTCATTTTTTTCTGTTGAAACTTTTAGGATTAACAGACAAATGACTGAAGGTAGCAACAGGCTAAAGGGTCTTAGGCAGCAACTTTCATCACACTTTTCGCTTACTCCGCCTTGACGTTTCTAATTTAAACTTGGCATTTGATGCATTCAAACTGGCATCAGGCGCATGTTTCAACTTTAAATTCAATTCTGGCTCAAATTTACCATTTGAAGCAAGATCAAATTTAGGATTCAAGGCAGGTGTTCGAGGATCTATTTCATTGACTCTCGCGTTCTCAAAAATGTCCTGCAGCTTACCACTCCACTTGGGCAACACGCGGCTAGGCTTTCCCAGAACCTCATCATAACTGGAGAACTTATCGCTTGTGTAACTGGTATATTCAGCACCAGGCTCATGTCTGGTATGATTATCACTACTGCTGGTGTAAGTAGACAGCATGGATGAGTCATCAGTGAAGGTAGAGTGTTTGGTATGGTTGTCGTGGTTGCTGGAGTTTGTAGGGTAGTTCAGTCCATCGCTGCTGGGACTGAGTTCACTGGAGTAGGAACCAGGGTGTTTCTCAGCCAAGAAATTCTGAAAGACAATATACTCATCGACCATGATCCAGTAAAAGTGAACTGTTTTAATGACTTTCAAAAAAGGTAATTTGATGATAAGCAGTGAAAAATGTCTTTGTGTGAATGACAAGAACTTCGTCAAATAGAATAATTATTAAAAATTATCATTTAAAAAGATATTTGGAATGAGGGAGTATACACAGAACTACTGGGCTTATAATACATCATCAGCCCTTAAATGAACCATCGATAGTACAAAAAGATAGTTTCGATGCAAACGCTGTGGAAAATACAAAATGTAGCAAAAATAACAGGCGTTGTAGTTACAAATTATTTTCTACTATTTCGTTTCAATGTAACATTATAGCACTGGATTGAAAATGCGAGTGACTAGAAAAGAAATGCTAATGTATCAATTCATTTAAACATTGATTTCCAGTTGGAAAAGTTGTAAAGTTTACAATTTGGTTAAGACTAGAATTCGGCCTTGTGGTTTGTCATCAACTTACGCGGCTGGAGGAAGAAGCTTTACGTTGACGCCAAACCGGAGGAGGCGGCGAAGGCAAATCGAGGTCTTCAGAGTGCGAGGCTGCACCATCACCTTTACTGCGGTCACTGCTACTTCTGACGGCATCATTGCTACTGCTAACGTCATTGCTGCTACTGCTGTCTTCACTGCGTTGATTTTTATTGTCATTACCGCGGTTGTTCCTGTCGCTTCTGACGCCACTGGCCACACTGAGGAGGCTGGTATGGAGCACCTCGCAGTCTATCTGCAGCATGGAGACCTCGTTGTCTCCAGTCGAATTGGAGCCGGACACCGGAGCAGGCACAAGCAGCGTCATTTTCGGTCTGGGCAAAATTAAATTTCAAATTGGCAGAAAATAACAAAACATTGCTTAAATTTCACATTAATTACCTTGATTTAATTTTAAAATCAGCTGCCAAAACACGCAGTTACGTTTTTGATGTCTCAGCAACAAAAAATTGCATTGCTACTTAATTTATGAATAGAGAACAAAATCGTTTGTTAGCTTTCCGAATGCAGTGATTTCAGTCCTACTAACATTAAAGCTTTGCTTTCAACTTCGTCTGCTTTAATTATAGAGAAAACCATGAGTTGACAAAGCTGTAATTAAGAATACATCAGTCGAGGGCATAACTTGATCATCATTTGGAGCATAGGTACCCTATACGTTTCGCCAGAGAGCACGATGGCCATGTGTAGAGGTGTAGAAGTAATGGAGGTTCACCTGGAGGTGTAGGAGGAGTTAGGCAGGTTCACCTGGAGGTGTAGGAGGAGTTAGGGAGGTTCACCTGGAGGTGTAGGAGGAGTTATGGAGCTGGGGAGGCACGAGCAGCAGGTCTCGGCTGAGGGACACGACGTAGTAGGACTCTGGTCTACTCTGCAGGACCTGCAGCAGCGACGGCGCGCCTTCTGGAGACACGCCGAGTAGCCCCGTGGTCGTCACCGCACGCCCTCTGTAATACACGCTCTTGGTGTAATGCTGGTGGTGGTGGTGGTGGTATACACACAACGGGTAATGGTGGTGTGGTACCAGCTGGTCAAGAAGTTATAGCGTGAGAAAATATTGTTGCGAGTTGCAGTATTAGTGGTGGTGGAGGTAATAGTCCTATGGAGAGTGTTTTCAAAGGTTTAAATGTACTCTAATTTGATTGATAAACATTTGAAAACATTATGGGTTGCACGCGATCTGACAGTGAATATTTGGGCCACGAGAAAGTCGTGCACTAAGTAAGTCTGAATTATTTCACATCAACAATACGGCGGTTGAGGATGCAGAGGAGAGGGCGAGTTAACTGAATGGTTATGATTTTCACCATAACATGATTTAGCCTCACCGAGTGATGGAGGGGTCGATGGTGAGAGGCGGGGGAGGGTCGCCATAGAACAAGTGCACAGCAGGAAGTCGCTCGCGCGGCAGCGACAAAGCTCTGTTGTCAGCCAACGCCGGTACTGGAACATAGAAAGATGATAATAATAATAATAAAAACGCACTATAAAATAATTTAGTTACATATAAAATAGAGCAGTTAGACGGAGGTTTCCTAGATAACAGAATCAGAAGAAAAAAAAAACAAGATAAATATACTACAATGGTACAATGATGCATCATCACGTCTGGCGACGGTCAAAGACTGGCGCAGTGGATATATTTTTGTAGCATCCAGCCTCGGGTTTTCCTTAGTCTGAGGAGAGTGCGCTCTTCTTCCGCTTATATTCGAGAATAAATGTAAACACTATCTATCGCTAAGATTTAAAAAAAAATTGATACAAACCTGACGGACTGACATGCGACGCCCAGGTTGAGGTGTCTCCAGAATTTGAGTTCGTGATGGTATGTGATGCAGCTTGCCGTAGTCGAGACTTCCTTCCTTTTCCTTTTGCTCGCCAAGCTTCTCGTCCTAGTTTGTGGTCTTGATGACTTGCGGACGCGAGATGTGTTTGAGGAGACCGAAGGGAAGAAAGGGAGGAAGAGGGGTCCCGGGGCCACTCAGGATTGACTTTGTTATGGAACCAGTCGCGCAACTCATTCTCTAACCTGGACATTCAATAGAATTAGGTAATTATTTAAACGTAACAAAGATCTAGGGAAATTTATAAAAGGTGAATGTATAAAAGACCGTAGCTGGTCATGAAAAAGTAGGATGACATTTTTCATTTTGGTACACATGATACAGCAACTGTTGATTTTCAGGATATGAATCCTAGTTTGGATTGGGTAACACATTCAACAGATTCATTCATTTGGACTGTGTGATTGAAATTTGATTTAATGCCCAATATTCCAAGGAGTGTCAACAAAATATTTCCAATAATTTGAGATGAATTTCGCCCTATGTGATGCTTTGGATTCACGTAAGGTTCTCGCCTTGAGACTAGGTATCATAGAGTACAGAGAGATACATCAAGAACCACAGCCCCCTCAGGGGGGACTTCTGACGCGTGTCTGTGCGCGTCAGAAGTCCTATGGGATTTCGCGTTTCTAGGGCGATTGTTCCTGAGCGCCCCACCGCTGAGCTCGCGGTGTCTGACTGCAGGTCTCAGTTGTGGGGTTAAGTTGTTATGTAGGCAGGATACCTTACATTTCCCTTCTCTCTCTCTCGCGGGCGGCCGACGTCCCGTGTAAGCGACCTCTTGTTCGAGTGTCTTCGTTTCTGTTGCTTTTCACCTGTCCCTCCTTGTCACTTCGTCTCTTTGAGATGCTAACGCTGCTTCTTTTATAGCTAAATAGCTGAAGCGCTAGTAAACATTTGGCCACTAAACTAAACTAACAGAACCACAGCACTCAATTCGATAACTGGGTCTCATTGAGCAAATTGAGACACAGCAATAACCCCGGCACTCACCTCAAGGACTCGGTCTCATTGAGCACAGAAGGACACATGGAGGAGTTGAAGTAGAGGGAAGAATCATTCAGCTTTGCGTCTTCCGTCACCCACAACAAGTGACGCAAGTTTGATGACGCGGAGGACTCCAGCAAAGAAGGTGGAGATAATGGCGACGAGTTCGGGACTAAAACACCGGACTGAGGAGACGACGGTAACAATCGGCTGCCCATTCAGAAATTTAGTTAATTGACCATCACAAGCAAGAAGCAACCATTAAATTAGGTAAACCATAATGCTAAATATGCTACAAAAGAGCAACCGAACTTGGCCAATTCAAAGAGCCTTTTAATCTCCTCTCACGACTCACAAAAGTAGAAAAATAAAAGCCCAAATGAAATATGGTCTTAGAACCCCAATTCTAAACCCCAACGAACAGCACGGTTATGCAGCATAGAGAAGTTTTCATTCTTCCACGAAAGGAACTTATGAGTGAAAGCCAAGCCATAGAGAGACCTGGGCAGAGTGAAGGCAAGCAGACAGAAGACAGTGAGCAGCACAGGCGCCATGGATTTGACACCCGTAGAAGACGGTAGCACAGAAGACGCAGAAGTGCTCAGCAGACGCTTTTTCAGAGCAGCATTCTCTGACTGCAGCTCTGAGCATAGACTGTTCAGAGCAGACACCTCCTGCACACATCAACAACCTTCAGCTTCAAGAGTACTTAGCTGCATACTTACAACAGTATAAAGTAAATAGGATACTTGACAGCATGCAAACAACAGCATAAAGTAAATAGGGTACTTAACAGCACATTTACAACAGTATAAAGTGAATAAATATGATTCCGTTTACTCATTACCGGGAGAATATTACTGCCAAGTTATATTTATTGCACATTTCTGGAAAATCACCTTCAGATAGTCCAAAAAGACCACCTACTGCTCGTAAGGAAACTGAGCATTAGGCATACAAAATTATCGAATTAAAGTACAATAATTCGTGCCTGCTTGAGCTTGGTGTTCTCGAGGGTGAGGTTGGCGATGTCGTTCTCGAGGTTGGTGACATATTCCTTCTTCTTCTTACGGGATAAACTCGCCGACTCTCTGTTCTTGATCATGCGCTCGTGACGCTTCAAGACTTTTGTCTGTGGGTTGAAGGGGTCAATTAGTGACGTTATACGTGAGCAGTGTGGGTTGAAGGGGTCAATTAGTGACGTTATACGTGAGCAGTCAGGAGGTCTGTGGGTTGAAGGGGTCAATTAGTGACGTCATACGTGAGCAGTCAGGAGGTCTGTGGGTTGAAGGGGTCAATTAGAGACGTCATACGTGAGCAGTCAGGAGGTCTGTGGGTTGAAGGGGTCAATTAGTGACGTTATACGTGAGCAGTCAGGAGGTCTGTGGGTTGAAGGGGTCAATTAGTGACGTTATACGTGAGCAGTCAGGTGGTCTGTGGGTTGAAGGGGTCAATTAGTGACGTTATAGGTGAGCAGTCAGCAGCCGGTTGACTTCGCACCAAAGAATGACAATAAACTATCATGACAGGTGTAAACTGCTCCATAGTTGTTACAGTTCCACCTCCAGATGACCAAGAATTTATTCGTCAATTGGTTAAGTACTCTTTTCTATATCATTTTTAATAACTCTAGTGAGGTGATGTAACTTCAACATAAAGCGCCATTCCTCATATCCATGCAGCAATATCTAATGCAAACTGCATCACAAAACATAGTAAGATGAGAAAGAAAAAGATGTAAGGCGCATAGCTGTGAAACCATCACCTGATGCGACAGTGGGACGTTGCTCTGGCTCAAGCCATTCACTAACACAGGACTTGCAGTCAGGCAGCTCAGTCCTGTAAACAATTATAAATATTAAAAAAACAATAAATTCGTTTATAAAAATCAAAACTTTCAGTTGTTTCGAGGACAGAATTAAAATAAATTTCACACACCAGATAATACGAGCAAAGCTGGGTTTTTATCATTGATTTTTAGCAATGCAAGTCGTATCAGCTTTTATAATTAATGCTCACCACGTGGAAGTGGGGGAAATATTGCCAACAGATAAATGCTCAGCGAAATTAAAAAATGAAATGCATAAATATACCTTATTAATTAATTGTTATGGTATTAGTCAACTCTCACCAATAGTTGTACTCGAAGGAACTACAGCAGCCAGGGAGCTCACGTTGCTGCACGACTTGCTGCTACTCAGGGGAATTTTGCCGTTGAAAACCGCTGCTGCATTCCCATTCAAAACAGCATTGCTGCTGATCATGCTATTACTACCATTCATTACAAGACTGCTTGTACTTATTACAGTAGCATGACCGTTAATAACAGCAGCGTTCCCGTTCACAGAATTACTTTTGCCAATAACAACACCTGCGGCGTCGCGGTTCATCACAGTGCTACTCAAGACGTTCTTCAAACCACCGCTGTTGACTTTATGGCAAGCAGTAAATAAGCCATTGTTATTGTCAACATAAGTGCACGAGTCTAGAGCACCGACACTACATCCCATGGACGGAGGAGACATAACAGAGTTGGTGGTAGCAGCCAACAAAGTGTGTACGGAAACTTTAGGTTGTATCCTCTTAGTCTTGGATATGGCACCGCCCCTTGAGGCACCAACAAACGGCGCTCCACCTGCAGGAAAATGTTTGAAGTGTCACGACCAAAGCTCTTCATGGAGAAGACTTAGAATCAAGTTGAACAAGAGGTCCGCATAACAACACATAAAGTTGCTATCAAAAGAAAACCAAGTATTGTGAATGAATTCCAAAGGGATAATTTTGATATCACATTTGTCCAAGATCCTAAAATGAAATATTTGATGGTAAACAGTAAAATATAAGCAGTGCATCACATTGTAATGCGAATAATGATACATAATAAACAATAGAACAATTACACAATATTTTAACTCATTGGCAGCATATTTACTCAACTATTATTATTAAACAGTTTTTGCATTTAATTTCGCACACTCTACTCGCCTTTCTTGGTCGTGATGGAGACGACTTTATACTTAGGGGTGGTAGAAGGGGGACTGGTGGGAGGGGAGGACAGCTGGAGGGGGGATGCCCTGGGGGACACGTCATCGGTGGGGGATGAGGGAGGAGAACTTTTGATGCACAAAGTTAAGAAATTATTAGTATTACTGTTACTAATTTTATTAAGAGTGGGAGCGTTCTTTGTAGCAGATATTGTCCCATTAGCTGGAGGGGAGGATAGCTGGAGGGGGGACGCCCTTGGGGACACGTCATCGGTGGGGGATGAGGGAGGGGAACTTTTGATGCACAAAGTTAAGAAGTTATTAGTATTACTGTTACTAATTTTATTAAGAGTGGGAGCGTTCTTTGTAGCAGATATTGTCCCATTAGCAGACAACTTATAACCCGTGACTCCATTGCTGGTGGGAGTGAACGGCTTGTTGCTGCTGAGCACATCACAATTGTAGTTAGAGCCGACCGTGCTGTTAGTATTGTTGCTTTTGTTTGTGAATGAGTTGGTGTTGAATGTGAGTATCTTATTGTTGGTGTTGTTGGTGGTGGTGGTGGTGATGATGGTCGTGGTGGAGGGTTTGTTGCCGTTCACAAAGCAGGCTTGTCTTGGCTCCCGTTTGATTATCTGTGTCGTGAAAACAAACCTATAATTACAACCTCATTTTATCTCTTTATTATTTACAATAATTGTCAACCTACAGCTCATGGTTCCAGTATTTAAAAATGAATGGTCGTCCCTGGAATCATAGCAAAAATTATGAATATGATTATGCATATTTATCATTTATTTCATTACAATTAGAAAAGCTTATCATTGATTATAATTTCACCAATTTCCAGAAGAATTTATTGACGAAAAATGGAATAAATATCGTCATCTACTTCATATAATTTCGTTGAATGCATAAATACAATCTTCCAGGCATCGCGTTTTTTTTAAGCCTTGTATCTTGGATACCACCGTATTGGACCATGTCAATTTAAAAAATAAACAAACAAATTTCTTTTCCATAAAAACCAACATTTTTCCCCTATCAATGCCGGGTTAACTTGCTACTGATTTCACACACAACCTCCCAAGACAGGTAAAAATACTAAGCTAGGGCATCCTTATTTTGAATGAATCAAATGGCATTCCTTACAGAAAAAGTTGGCATGTTCACAGCAGCGGCGGCAGAATCAGACGACGAGGTAGGACTCTCCAGCAGCTGGTACCAGTCACTGCCACACGAGTTCTCTGTCTTGATGGACAGGGGAGAATGTGCCGATGTTGACCCACAACTACTACTGCTGCTGCTTGCACCTAAACATTGAAGACAACCTCAATGCATAGAGCACATAAATATAATAAAATAAATAATTTAATTCGATTAATCAAACATCGCACAGTTGTAGACCATGATGATGTCAAGTGTAATAAAGATCATTTAGAATAAAATTGTGAGGTAAAGAAGCCATTTTAAGTCCCTGACCAAGCGGGCTGAGCTTCGTGTTAGAGCTACACAACATTTGTGCAGGGTTGGTGGCGTCTTGCAGCTCAGGTGACAGATGATGCACTAGTGACGGCGAGTACTCCTGTGCGAGTAATAGATATTCAATCAACATACCGGTATCAGCTAATTAATCATAAATATTACTATCGATCCTTGACTGATTTAATTCAGAATAGTTGAAACTAGAACACATTTTTCATGAATCCATTGAAGAGGTTTCAAGATAGAGCTCAGCTCTTTGCATGAATTTGAATGCAAATGATTGAATCTCATGACTCCATGATCAATAACTAGTCGAATGTTGAAGATCATGCGACTTTGTAGGAGAGAGTATCACAGAATCAAAAAGAAACTACAGCCAAATACTAACCAGTATGGCTTCATCAGAGATGTCTTCAGACAGCAAAGCTGGCATCTCACCCAGTAAATCTGTTAATGAAATAACGTAAGGCAACATGCATCTGAACTTGATGAGAAATAGTCAATAGTTATGTTCACATAGCAAAAATTTACTTTCATTTATTGGCAACATCAGGTACGTACCAACATTTTTAACGTTCTTATATGATATGGTCAAAGTATATGGATATTATTTGGTGATTTAAATATAGTACTATTAAATTCTAAGTAGAAAAAGATTAAATTTTGATGCATGTGACAAGTTCAACACTCTTCAGTGGCATTCAAGCATGCTAAAACACACTCAAAATAACATGTTATTGAAAATCTCTTAGTAAATTAGAAATATACCATTCCTAAATCTCCCTCATAGGGATCTTGATAATGATTGAATATCAAGAAAAATCATCCACCATTACAAAAATTAATAAATGCTCTGATTGAGAACAATATGTACGTATATATTGTACTGCAGTGCATATCTTACCAGGGTTACACAGAGGAGATGGAACCAAGTCCATGGCCTCCATCTTGTCATCGATTGTGCTGCTGCGGCTGCTGGAGTCGCTTGAGTGAGGTGGGCTCCATGGGTCCCGGGTCTCACACAGCTGACAAAAGAATATTTTAATATTTATTACTAATATAATATAAAATAATAATCAGCTGAAAAAGTTTGAAAATACCACAAAAGTAGATAATATAATAATTGATCGTGATAAATTTTTTATATGACATGGTATGATCTATTGTGAAGCAGACAACTGAAACAAAAGTTGTAGGCAACAACAAGCATAAGATTATTTGTTATATACCTACCTATTTCATTTCTGTCAGCCTCAGAAATCAAATGGCACATGTTATCTCAATCATGGAAGACTGATCAGCAAGGTACTGACAGAAAAGGATAATATGGAAGCTAAAATAAGAATTAATTGAAGATAACTCCAGAGAACAAGACATTAGCAAAGATTTTCCCTAGAGCTAACAACAGCTATTTGAAGGTAAACTGCAAGCCATGATAGATAATGCATAAAAGCCCTGAGATCATTTTACCATATATTTGCAGAAAGAACTTAAACATAACAAGCCTTCATTTCAAAAGTTATATCTTATGTAAAAGTTACTCACCCCAATGTCACCGGAGAGGCTATGCAAGAAGTCGTCACAATCATGCTCAGCAGAGTCTGTGGGATATACTTCGAATTTAATTCATTCGTGAAATTCTGCAATCACCACAACAATCTATAGAATCCTATCTGTCTGTTTGCAGTTGATTTATTGCATTTAAATCTTACAAGTTCTATATATACAGGATATAGGTATATATATATATAAACCCTACCTTAATTTTGGATCTACTGACACCACCAATACTGAATTAAACCAGCTGACAGCTTAATGCAATGATAAATATACATATCAAACAAAATAAAAGCTAAATGCTCACCTGGTAAGGAGCTTCCAAAAATTTCTTGCTGAAGCAAAGCCGTCTCAATGTCAGTTATGTCATTGAGTGACATGTAATCAAATGGCTCACTTTTGACCAACATATTTGTGGCCTTAGTTGTCAGTTTGATAGACAAATCAACACAAATTGGAGTCACACTATCTTGGACTTGTGGACTTTCATTTTTCAACACTGCTATCTGGATGGAATGTAGTAAAACGTCACAAGAAATTAATTAAATTAGCCCAAAACATGCATCCTAGCACATTCTACTAAGCTCACAAAGGACAGATGCTGACAATGTGTATACAGAATTTTTTTTACAGCAAGGAAGTAATTAACTCATGAAATAATCTGCCAGAGTTCATTGTGACAGCACTCTTGGTGAACAGCTGCAAGAGCATGTTCAACAGTTTCTGAATAGACAGCCTGGCCCTGTACAGCCACTTGTGCTGCAAGTAGGGAATATCCAGTTCCCAATTAACACTTCAACCTCTTGTTAAGCTTAGGTGCAGTGAAAGTTATTGACCAATGATCAGGTGTGATGTGTTAGTGAAAGTTTTTGACCAATGAACAGGACTCCCTTGAGGACCTTCAACAGTGTTTTTGCCAGTGCCAGTTTTCAACATATTGTGGATCCTAATGAACCATCAGAGCAGATAGGAAATACAAATGCATTAATAATAGCATCATCACATCATAATGCAAAGCCTTGTGCTTTTAATAATGGCTTAACTGGAGTAATGAAACTCCTCTCCACACACATGTAACACCCTGCAAATTCAACCATGCATAAAGCAAGTCTACACCATACATAAACACTAAAATTGGTGTCTACAACAATTGAATGCCAAAATGAGCAAGACTGTGCAAAGCTTGAGTTGTCTCTTCAGCAAAAGCACAGAACCAAATCGATATTATTTACAAGTTTACAACCAATGCTCGGAATTATTTTTCCCAAATAAAATAATAATCCCACCTATATACAATGTTCTGAATAAACATGTCAGTGACTCAGTGTATTAGTATAGGGCATGCCTATTGTGGCTAGTGCCTACTATGTACTACAAAAGTTGAAAATTTGTGTAATGACATGTTTGTGAACTGCAGATTTCTTAAAGCAAACAAAAATACAGTACATTAGAGCTGTTAGATTTCATACCTGCAGAACTTATACATTAGCCGTGATATTTCAGAAAAAAAACTTTTCCCAGCTAGATTGGTTAAAGATCTTAATATATAGCATGTTCTTTTATATCAACTACTAATATATAGAATGAATGCCCCAGCACTAAAGTTACTGGCTTACAGTTTCAATACAGATTACAGACTATCTTTTTATAATAGAACTTAAGCTGTTAAGCATATCTTGATTTAGATTTCTTCCCTTTTTGTCCATAATTATGACGGTAATTTATCAAGGAAAATTATGTACCTAGTTTGATAAAAATGAGCAGTAGATATGGCAGTGATCTTGATCAGTTGAAGGCTAACGAGTAACTAGAGCACCGGCATGGCGCACTTACCGGCGAACGTTGCCGAACTCGACCATTCGAGTTATGAACAAGACAAGGCGCGGTTAAACCGACTCTGTAGTCAGCACGAGTGCCTACGGAACGGGACCTTATTTAAAGAATAATTGGCTGAAATTCATAAAGTAACAACATTTGGCATATTTTTCCAAAAGTCATAACAAAAGTAACAACATAAGATCTAATAAGCAAAAAGTAACACTTTTGTTACGAACATAACACCTCTGGCTAGAGGCGGGAAAATGATGCGTTGTGAAAAAAAGTTGTGCTAATCAAAACTGGCACTGCATAGATTAAGGGTAGGTCACAAATTTTTTTTTCTGCGTTAATCAAAACCGCGGTATTCAAAACCGTGCTAATCAAGGGATTGCTGTAATTATGCATTAGAGCCGTGATATTTCAGAAAAAAATGACTTTTCCCAGCTAGATTGGTTCAAGATCTTAATATATAGCATGTTCTTTTATATCAACTACTAATATATAGAATGAATGCCCCAGCACTAAAGTTACTGGCTTACAGTTTCAATACAGACTATCTTTTAATAATAGAACTTAAGCTGTTAAGCATATCTCAACTATTCAAGTGCAACCAAATAACTTTTTCATCATTATGTAGTTATCAAAACCTACAAAAATTTCTTCAGACCAGTATTATGCAATTTATAATTAGAAGTGAGACTGTGGGAGTGGCCGAGTGGACAGTGGCAACTGTCAAGTCAAGCCAGGGCCAGGCAAGGTAAATGCAGTTAGGGTAAATGCGGTATATTCCGACACATTAAGGACGCATCGAGAAATGAAAAACTATAAAAAAATAACCGTATGAGTTACTCAAGTTCTGTTTGCTTTATGTGACTCGCAAAACACCGTACTACACGCCAGCAACGATGAAACGTCACAAAATGTTGCCATATTTATTTAAAAGCCTTTAGAATGCAAACCTACCAAATCCCTATATTCTTACACTGTGTGTGGCAATATTCGGCACGTGGTGAGGCGTATTCCATCCGCGCTTCAAATTCTACTGATACGTAATGCCGTCATCCATGTGTTCGAATTCCGTTCGCTGTGTGAGCTGTATTGGTATACAACACAGCTTTGAATTAGAACACTAATGAATATTGAACACTACTTAATTACGCTTTTAATTAACAACTATTAAGCTTTTAATTAAGCAAATTTTAATTTTTGTACACAGCTTGGAAC